GTTTTTTTTTTTTTTTTTTTTTTGGTTTTTCGAGACAGGGTTTCTCTGTGGCTTTGGAGCCTGTCCTGGAACTAGCTCTTGTAGACCAGGCTGGTCTCGAACTCACAGAGATCTGCCTGCCTCTGCCTCCCAAGTGCTGGGATTAATCCAAGATGAAATTTTAAGGCCTGTCGGGGACCAGCCTCGACAAAAATACCTCTCGCCAGGGTAAGGGCTTGGGGGTTAGAAATATAATAAAGAATATGAAGACACAAATGAAAATAATAAAATGGAAAAATATGTAGGATAGTATTGGGAAGGAATTCCTGTGGCTACTGAAAATTCATCCCTGTTTAATTTTCAATTGCTTAAAATACCCCGATCCCCAAAGGTAGGAGTAAGACAAAAGACTGCATCAGTGTTGAACTAGGAAATGAACAGACCAACTGGAGGTCACGGGCAACATTCATAGTTAATCATTCTGTTGCTAGAACAAAACAAGTCACACTTAACACCCTAGACCAAAATGTTCTCTAGGCAAACCACTCCCTGGGTGGAATCCCAAGTTATCTCTGTAATGGAAACTGGAACTTAGTTAGAACCTAAGACTCTTGTTTAAGGTAGGAACTATCTACTCCTCTCTTCCACACCTTTTAGCCACACCTTTGATAAGAACCTTGTGAGAGTAGGAATCTCTGACCCACGTCTAGGTGGGCCCTTTGTTTGGGGTAGAAGCGTGATAACCTTGTAGGAACAAGAGGAAAGTTCCAACTCTCTGACCTTTGGTCAACATGGAAACAGGGCTCACATTTCTGGGCTCCACAATGAACTTACCTCTAGTTCTTAACTGCTGAATCATCTATCCAGCCCTAAGAATTAAAACAAGAAGAAACAAGATAATAGTTATTAAAAAAATGAAATGAGGGCTAGAGAGATGGCTGAGCAGTCAAGAGGCTGCTCTTCCTGACGACCCGGGTTTAATTCCCAGCATACACTTGATGGCTCACAATGTCTGTAGCTTCAGTTCCAGGGGATCTGGTACCCTTTCTTGGTCTCTCAAAGCACCAGGTGCACAGACTTGCATGCAGGTGAAACACCCATACAGATAAAAGAAAAGAAAAATAAATTGAAGATAAAATAAGATAAAAAAAAAAACCAACCTTCAGGATTTTGTCCACTTATTTATTTGTTTTGGTGAATGGAACAAATATTTGAGAATATTTGGAAATATGTTCTCATGTATTCCAGGCTGGCCTCAAAATCTCTACAATTAGCTTGAACTTCCAATCCTCCTGCTTCCATCTCCAAAGTGCTAGGATAACAGTCATGCACTGTGATGCCCAGATTGCAGAGACCCCCCCAAAACCAACAAAACTGAGTCATGTATGTAAAAGCAAAGAAAATTTATTCAAGTTTGAACTTGAACTCTGATTGGCACAATCAGAGTCTCGAGCTCAGTTGGGGTATTTTTTTTTTTATCATAGTAGAGGTTGGGGTGAGGGATTTTTAAGGTTCAGGGCACCTGATTGGCTGACATTTGTCTAGAGGTGTCTTGGTGAAAAGGGATGGGTGTGTGCTGGGCTAAAGAACATCAGGTGATCCAATTTGCAAGGGTTTGAACGTTAGGAATTTCCTTTGGAATGTTAGGTCATTTTCCCCTTGGAAGGTCTCAGTTTGTGGTGTTTCTTGGAACCAGGTATTGCCTTAGGATCTGAAACTCAAGCCTCTGGCTGAGTTTTAAATTTCCCCTTCACAAGTACCAATTACAGGGACCCAATCCTGGGTTCTGCTTGCTCAGGGGCTTAAGGGAATGGTACTGGTGAAAGACCTGGATAA